TAAACGCCCCATTTTTTCTTTATTGAACAGTGTAAGCCAGGCTGTATTTCCCTTTTTAACGGAAGAACGACCCCTTCAGTCGTATGATTTTTCTCTACAACTTCATATTTGCTTAGTTTCATATCCGAAACGTAAACAATGCAAATTTTAAAGAATTAATAGTTTTTTTTCTTTAATCCGAATTTTTTTTTACATCAAAAGTATTTAAAGGGGAAATTTCCGAGAGTCCTGATAAGCGACATCCGACAGCACGGCCTCTGATCGGAAAATGGAACCACCTCTTAATTGCTGTCGTTCCCAGGACCATTCTGACCTGTGCTGGTAACACTTGTTAGGGTCCCAGCTATGGATAAATAGTGAATCCCCTAAACAAAAACAAAACATTATCTATATCTATAAAACAGAAGACGTCTGTGTGTGTTTGTATATATTATTTACGCACGTTCACATCCATATGGCCGATTTCGATGAAATTGTACACACATGCTGCATATTTAGCAAGGCGGATCAACACCAAGTTTCACATACCCCACACCCGGACACCCGGACACCCGGACACCCGGGTTTGGCAGATAAAGCCCATAAAACTGAAGGTATTAGGTTGGTGCAAAAATAATGACGTAAGAATGTCGTTTTTTGACGTTAAAAAAACACGTTTTTTGCAAAACCCAAAGCACAATTATACGCGAACAATTTTTTTTCCTGGTGATGTTCTTTGCAGTTAATGCAAAACATAGCTCATGTTACAATGTTTATGGAGAGTGCTTGATAGTTTCCATGCGAAATTGCAAAAATCTGTGAACAAAATCGGGTTTTCCGTACTACTTAAAATAAAAACTTGAATAACTAGCTGATTTTGTATCCTATTTTCTTCAAACATGTTGCAACAACTTTGCCATCATACAAGAAATAAGATAGTGTGGTTTTAATCCTGCTTTAATCCCCAGGTATAACGAAAAACCATGAAAAACTGTTCAAAAAGCCTGCTTTCTGGCCATAACTGCCTAATTTTTCATCCGACACTTTCCCAATTTGCCATGTAAATTACATATGACACACAAATTGTCTTGCGTGAATGTTTGGTTTAGAATATTTCAGTTAAGTGGATGAAATCTCCGACAAACTAGTTCCAAAATAGGCTTTTGCCATTTAGACAGTAATTTCTTCATATGATTGCATCATAAGTTGGCATTCGAACAACCTTTGATGCCGAGATTTTTTGAGAAGTATTTTGGAAGCGTTAAAAGCGAAAAAGGGAAAAATTCTCGAAGAACGTCTTATTAACCCCAGCTTTATTGTAAACGTGCAAAGAAGGAGGCGTTTGCACTTGCAGTTGAATCAAGCTCTGACGCTTCATCCCTGTTTTTGTTTGATTATTAGATTTGTGAACAATGCCATAGGAAATTTACTGAATATCTAAAACATTGGAACAATTTAACCCCGGACAACGTCCACACAAGAAGGTTTTATCGACGGAATTCTTTTATTAAGAACAATCAAACACTTGCGAAGGACATAAGGATAAGGGGGGTAGCTTAGTATACCAACGGGCGATGCATGCAAGCGGTGATGCAAGCATACCTTTTTAGACAGGGGGTGCGTAGGCATATAGTGGTGGGTACGGTTTTACAATTGCAGCCATGTACATCCGGGCAATCCCGAGTGGGTCGGCTAGGGGAGGTGTAAAATACATTTTATACTAAAAAATACTAGTAATTTTATATGAAAAATTAGCAATACATATTTATAGCGAAATTATCAACAAGACACATATACTAACAAATCGTAGTGGCTTTAGGAAACTGCGTTTAAAATACTACCAAACAACCAACATGAAAGAACTCTTTCATGACATTAATCTATATAATATCCTACCATTTCTTAAAGAAATCAAACTGTATTTCAAAAAACTCCAACATAAAACACACATAACACCGCCTCTAGTAATTATGTCCACACAAACATGTATATGCACAAAAGCTGAGTATCACCTACCATGTATTCAATTGTGACAGCAGAATAACATATATCATATTTTTATTACTTAAAAGCTCCCAAGAAAACTAAATTTCCATAAAGAATTGATATGTCGTTAAACATAAAAATCAAATCGATATTTCTTATTTGAATTAATGGATACTTCGTATATGAAATAGACACCCCGTTTTTATTTATTAAACAGTGTGTATTACGTGGAGGCACGGTGGAATAATGGCTCGGATTGAAGAATCTGAGAGCCGAGTTCGAATTCCGGTCGAACCCATTACATTCACTTACGTGTTAATAACCTTGAGTAAGGTACGAATCCTCTTTTTTCTTTCTTTTTTTTTAAGCATTACACCCGAGCAAGGCGTGAAGCCACTAGGATGCAGGGGGTTGCAGAAGATTTGGAGCAAGAGCAGGTATGAGTGATAGGAGGAGAGGGATAGTGGATAGATCAAGGTAACTGGAGATATCGATTGACATTACATTTGAATAGTTGGAGATTATAGCTCTCAGGGAAACAGTAATTGGGAAGGGTGTTCCACAGGCGAGAGGTGCGAGGTATGAAGCTACTGGAGTAGAAGAGACGGATACATTTAAAAGTTTCTACGGTGTAAGGGTGGGAGCGGGATGCCAGCCTCGTAGGTCGCTTGAATTCATGGAGTCTGGGAACCAGTGAAAGCAGCTCATCGGAGCAATTACCATTAAAGTATTTGTAGAAAAGACAGAGAGAGGCGACGGCGCGTCTGTGAGAGAGTGACTGTAGACGAGACGCCAGATCAGGGCCAATTATATTACATATCCATCTCTGGATGTTGTCAAGAACTCCGCTTCTCTCCGAGTTCTATAGCCTTGGATGCCAACTGGTCTACCGCAGAAAGAAATGGCAACCTACTGCGGGAAAAAATCTGCCTCGTCAGTCATGTATCAAAAGATACATGATCGCCTAAGCGTGTATCACTCATGGCACATAACTGACTGACAGACATGCTAATACTCTTGCGAAAGACCCGAATCCTATTCTATTCCCCGCGCCCTCAGATTTGGGTAAATAACAGGGCAGACCGGGTTCTATAGCCTTGGATGGCAACTGGTCTACCGCAGAAAGAAATGGCAACCTACTGCGGGAAAAAATCTGCCTCGTCAGTCACGTATCAAAAGATACATGATCGCCTAAGCGTGTATCACGCATGGCACATAACTAACTGACATGCTAATACTGTTGCGAAAGGCCTGAATCCTTTTCTACTCCCCCCCGGCCTCAGCTTTGGATAAATAGCAGGGCAGATCGGGTTCTATAGCCCTGGATGGCAACTGATCTACCGCAGAAAGAAATGGCAACCTACTGCGGGAAAAAAACTGCCTCGTCAGTCATGTATCAAAAGATACATGATCGCCTAAGCGTCTATCACTCATGGCACATAACTGACTGACTGACTGTACTGAACAAGAGAAAATCCTCACTCCCTACCCTCTTGAAGACTTGTTAGCTATTGCAGATAAAGCATAGTTCTTTCCCGGGAAATCATTTTCCAACTTCACTCTCAATTCATCTGAAGTTGCTCGGGTTCTATAGCCTTGGATGGTAACTGGTCTACCGCAGAAAGAAATGGCAATCTACTGCGGGAAAAAAAAATCTGCTTCGTCAGTCATGTATCAATCGGTCTGCGCATTCAAGATTTTTTTTTTTTTAAGCGTTTCACCCCAAGCAAGGCGGGACGCCACTAGGACGCAAGGGGTTACAGAAAATTTGGAGCAAGATCAGATAGGAGTGATAGAAGAAAGGATGAAGAGAAGAGTAGTGGATAGATCAAGGCAACTGGAGATACAGAGGCCAGTGAGAAAGAGAGAGAGAGAGAGAGAGGGGGTACCGGGAACCCTTTCCTAAACAAGAAACAAGGCGTAAGCCTCTACTCATGTCCAAGAGAAGGGGGAGGAGTGTGGACCGGGTGGTAGGAAAGCCTACCTCCTCCTATTACATATAACACATACAACAACAACAAAAACAGAGGGAATGATGAGAGGGGGGAGGTAATTTGCAAAGAGTCCTGGCTGACACCTGGATTTACCTTTTCGCAACATTAAGTTTTAACTTAGTATAAGACCCATTGTCTATTCTAAAATGAAGTTGAAGGAAATAAGGTTATCCGGATTTATTGCTATGTCATAATAAATGCCCCAACACACGTGGCAGCGAGTGTTAGTCCGCTTTCTTCCTCATGATAACAAGTGAATGTACAGCTTACCTTAAGTCCAAGCATCGAGCTGGTGGCGGGGGGGGGGATCAACGGCCAATCCACCGCCCTCACTAAATAGTGGGATTGGGAGGCATGCTTTCAATAAAAATTAAGAACAACAGGAGAAAGAATGGTGGCGAAAACAATTCCAAGTTCAGAAATTTTATCAAGCAAGAATAGTCGGCCATTAAATCATGAGAATACTGACGAGACACTTTTGCATCTCGCCAAAGACGTTCAATTTTCCCTTTTTTCTGATTTTTCTTTCGAAACGGGACCATCAGATAGGTTAGAATGATTAGGACAAAATGTGTTACTATGGGCAAACACACTGACGAGTAGGGGGAGAAAAAAAACAAAAAAAAAATACAATAAAATAAAATTCAAATTTAAACATTAAAAAAGAAAAAGAAAAGAAAAATAAAGAATTTAAGAATATCTTAAAAGTAAAAAAAAAAAAAAATTCCCGATAGGGATCGAAAGTACGTCCCCCTATTATGCGTATTCAGATTTATCAATCTTTTTGCTTCCTTGTTTTCTCTTTCGTTCATAAACTTGAAATATAATTCTTTGGCTCACAATCCGCCCACTTCATACATTTCTTCACTCCGGTAAATATTGAGTTATTTCTATAAACGCTATTTCGCGCCTTGCTCAAACTTTGTCTTCCTTTCTGGTACGGTGTATATCTTCAGTCACACCAGTCATTCAATCCTATCTTTTCATACTTATTTCTTCGGCCATTTGTCAACATATCTACCAGTATCGACATTAACCAGCATGCATTGCAGCAAGGCAGTATGTGCCGAACACAGGGATAATCTACTTTGCTGTCGATGGCCATCTAATCTAGAAAAGGTCAAGAAGATTCAACGCATAGAATCAGTAAATAGGTTAGAGACGGATATGTCCATTTTTTTTCCAAGGTACTTTTTTTCCGACTTGCTAGGCATACAACTGTTTATTTCTTTATATCTCTCTCCGTTTCAGTGTTACTTCCTGAATCTCTGTCTGCTATTGTTGGTCTCTTAGTGTGTTCGTCCTTTTATATGCACACCAATCTCTCTCACTTTCTCTCTCTCTCTCTCTCTCTCTCTCTCTCTCTCTCTGATTTGGTACTCTCGCCCCCTCTCTCTTTTCTATGTTATTGTTGCTATTCTAATAGTTTAGATACGGATATTTCCATTTTTCCAAGGATCTTTCTCCGTGTTGACGGGCGTACAACTTTTTATCTTTGTATTCAACTCACCGTCTCAGGTTTTCTTTCCGACTCTCTGTTATTGGTTGATTCTTGGTGCGTTCGTCACTTTATATTCATCCAAGTGTTTATATCTATCTATCTATCTATATATCTATCTATCTATCTATCTATCTATCTATCTATCTATCTCAGTGAATTATCTATCTATCTATCTATCTATCTATCTATCTATCTATCTATCTATCTATCTCAGTGAATTATCTATCTATCTATCTATCTATCTATCTATCTATCTATCTATCTCAGTGAATTATCTATCTATCTATCTATCTATCTATCTATCTATCTATCTATCTATCTCAGTGAATTATCTATCTATCTATCTATCTATCTATCATCTATCTATCTCAGTGAATCTATCTATCTATCTATCTATCTATCTATCTATCTATCTATCTATCTATCTCAGTGAATTATCTATCTATCTATCTATCTATCTATCTATCTATCTATCTATCTATCTCAGTGAATCATCTATCTATCTATCTATCTGTAATTTCTATCTTTCTGTAATTTCTATCGTTGATTTCAAATTTATTTATTTCTTTTTCTCTCTCTCTTTCTTTCTTTCATCTATCTCTGATTTGGTCCTATCACCTTCTCCTATTTTTTATCCCCTCTCTCTCTCTCTCTCTCTCTCTCTGATTTGGTTCTCCCTCTCCCTCTTTTCTGTCTCTCTCCCCATCTGATTTGGTCTTCTCTCCCTTTTATCTCCTATTTTTCTGTCTTTCTCTATCTCTGATTTGGTCTGCTCACCCACCTTTCTCTCTCTCTCTGATTTGGTCCGCTCTGCCTCTCCCTCTTTTCTCCCTCTTTCTCTATTTCTGACTTGGTCCTCCCTCCCTCTCCTTCTTTTCCTTCTCTCTCACTCTGATTTGGTTCTCCCTCTCTCCCTCTTTTTTCTCTCTCTCTATCTGATTTGGTCCTCTCTCCCGTTCTTTCCTTTTTTTCTCTCTTTCTCGATCTCTGATTTAGTCCTCTCTCCCTCTTTCTTCTCTCTCTGTCTATCCCTGATTTGGCCCCCTCTCTCTCTCCCACTTTCTTCTCTCTCTCTCTCTCTTATTGTCTGATGTCTCCTTGGTCCTACCCTCTTTCTCTTTTATATTAACGATCTGCTTAAGAACATTCTCCATTAGTAAATATATATGCAGACGATACCACGGTTTATAGGAACTCCACCAAATGTCTAGATAACCAAAGCTTGGCAGCTGATCTCACCTCTGATCTAACTTTAACAGCTCAATATGAGGGAAACAGTCTTGTAATGTTCAACACTTTCAAAACCATCAGCCACGCCAGTGTCATTAGATAAGAGCTGTATCTTGACAAAATTGTTTAACGTCTGTCTGAAAAAGAAAGGCTTCCCAGGTCTATAGTGTCAGCTGAATGCCCAGTTTATAAAAATAATGATGAGCACTTATCGGAATATCGGCCCATCAGCCACGCCAGAGTCATTAGATAAAAATTCTGCGGCTATCTTCAAAAAGAAAGTTGTCAATTCCCTCAAATATTAACAAAACCTCCTGAGAAAAACTACGAATTTGACTCCTCTAGGTCCACTGCTGATGTCTTTACTCTCATTAAACATACCCAGGGAATTTTGATAATTAATTCATCATGTGAGCAATCGTTTTAGATATCGCGAAGGCTTTTAACAAGGTGGGGGGTCATGGTGTGTTGCACAAATTCCCCAGCTATGTCATTTCTGTAAGAGTCTCCTCGATTATCAAGTCCTTTCTATCGTGTTGGTCCATGAAGGTAGTTTTTAACGGCAACTCATCTGAAGACCATGAGATCAATAAAGGCGTTTAACATGTCTCTCTCCTCGGTCCTGTCCTATTTCTGCTTTATATCAACGATCTGCAGAAGAACGTTCTCAGATTATTAGTAAATACATGGCGCCGGAAGATATCACTGTTTATAGGAACGCCACCAAATGTCTAGGCGGACAGAGCTTGGCAGTGGATCTATCCGCTGACCCCACGACTCAATAATGGAAATATTGGCATGTATCATTCATTGCCTCCAAACCAATGACGTAAAGTTTCTTCACCTAAAAACCTAAATTTTCTCCAGTCATGTTGTCCTCTAAATGTTATGAAACAATAATAATGGTACAATTAAAAAAATAATTAAAGTGCCCACCAGCAAACATCAATCAAATCTATTCTTTTAGTTACATGCTTCTGTTATACTCCGTCGCAATTAGACCTCTTTCTGATTTGTTCTGCACGCTGGCCGGATGTGAACGCCACGAAGGCAGAAAACGAAAAAGCAAAAAACGTTTTCTGCGCATTAGGCTCCACGTATCACATTCGGCCTACTAAAGGAATTCCGGCAGTGACCAATCGCGAACGTTACGACCGGAGAAAAAGATGCATCTGGAGGCTACCAGACTCGCATAAAAGCATCACCAGTCAGTTGCGGCCCGGCGGAATACCGGCCATCAGACAGGGCGCGGCCGCCGTGGCCTTGGACGCCACTCAAATGACCGTTACCACGCCCAGGCTTGACTAACCTCCTCGGCTATCCAGCTTCGATTCGAAAACAACTCAAATTCGACTCCACCCAGCTATAAACCTTCATCGTCGATGGCACTGTCACAAAAATACCGACTTGATAACATCTCAACGTCGACACAACCAACCAGAAGCCTTCCTTGCCATCAACGCCGTCACCACGGCAAATCCAAATCCGCAAGAAGCAACACCGACCTCGCAACCAAGCGACTCCAACTCCGCAAGCAACGATCACAACTCCGCAACCAAGCTATCACCGCAAGCAGCATCTCCGACTCCTCAACCAATCGACTCCAACTCCACAAACAAGCACCTCCGACTCTGCATGCATGCAACCAACTCCATCCACCAACGTGACGCCAATCCGACGTCACTCCGGTTCAACACAACGGATCTACCAACCAACGAAACGACACACCACCGTGACCTCGATCAACCAAACGTGCACTGATCATATCCTGTAACAACAACCAGGCCAGCACAAGAAATAGGTCAACTCCCGACTCTACCTTTACACTAGATCGCTATTCTGATGATCTCCCACTGAAACTGACATTTCACCTAGCTTCGAATATCAGTAGAATATACGAGCCTCCATCATGACCTTGATCAAACAAACCATATTCTGTCACCTCACATCAATCCCACACAAGAATTAGGTCAATACCCGGCGCTTCCGTTACACCTGTCGATCAGCCACTTAAACGGACATTCCACACATCCATCAACCTCTGTGTGCGACCTACCATTAATAAAAGTTGTTCAAAATTTAATCTTTATTATTCCTTTCTCTCGCTAATAAACGCTTAATGTAACATTTCTGATTATGCTGCTTGTTTAATTATTGAATAATTGACGATAAAAAAAGCGGATAAGATCAACGAGAGACTAGTTTTAAAATGATTATAATATAGATGATCATTCTAAATATGTGGATATGTGGGTGGTGTAATTAAAATCGGCTTGGAATGAGATATCACAGAGCCGATGTCGGATTCCATTCACTGACGCACAAATATCACTGTGAAATGTATATAATTGCCCCCTTTAAATATGTGTTAAATTAGTAGTACTTATATCTGGAAATAAACATTGTTAGTCTAAAAACAAATATTGTCGATACAATATCAATTCGTAGAAAAAAGATTTATTCTTACAATCAAAAATATTTTCAGCTCTAAATAACCCACAAATGGACGATAAGCCATAACAAAAAGTAAACAAAAAAAAAAGAAGCCAAATCAAACCATCTAAGAAATTGTGATAAGCTGCTGTATTCATTGAAAGTTATGGCAGAGATGGTGTAAAGTATGAGCACGGTGTGTATTGTGTATTGGGGTCTGTATTGTAGTTGACCCAACGACATACTTAACTGAGAAACTTAATAGAATACAGTCATAAAAAAAGAAAAAAACAAGTAATTTTCCCGCCATTCATCATGTCGTCCATTCTTTTCTGGTAGCTCTTTAGTTAAAGGAAACCACGATCTTCTGTTCTTTTCATTTGATTATGGCTTTCGTTCTAACCACGGAAGACCGTCTGCATCTCCTTTGACTGCAATGGTGTCACCTTTGGGCCATGACTAAGCTTTTTTTCATTTATTTTTTTCAACATTCTTCAGGAATATTCTTCAATGTGTCTTCTTTTATTCTCTGTGTTCCTTCTTCCAGATATCGTGTTTCTTTTTATAGTTGATTTTAGAAGTGTTAGCGTTCATTATTTTGCTACTGTTATTTCTTATTTTTTCTTTAATTTGTTTAACATTCTTCCATCTTCTTCCATTTCTCCAGCTTCCCTTCCTTTCTCCATTCACAAGATATCTTTACTTCTAAAAAAAAATAATTCCTCTATTGTTGCATCTATTTTATCATCGCTTCCATCGTTTCATTCTTTGTATCGACATTGTCTGGGATTCTGGAATTACAGTTTTTTCGCAGCATATAAGACTCACGTTTCCTTCTTTTGCTAAATACCTTATTGGCTTAATTTTCCTACATCCTGGCCGCTGATCTCTCCTGTGACATCCCAATGGAGAAAAACTGGTTGGAATTTTTCAGTACCTCCAAAACCAAGCTAGTATCATTTATTCATCACTGAGCGGATCTTGAATTTACTCCATCGGTGAGAAATAAGTTCCACTCTAGCAGCTTTTTCCCGCGGACCACTGCTCTGTGAAACCGACTCCCAACAGGATGTTTCCCCGATCGCTACAATCTTAACCTGTTCAAGGGTAAGGTTAACCGTTATCTTACACTCCTATACACACAAATGGCCTCCGAACGTAACCCTCTATCTCGAGAGGCTCCCGGACCTTGTAAAAGGTGAAACTTTCTGTAAAAAACAATTTAAGAAATCTATTTTTTTAAAAATGTGTTTTGAGATAATTTACAATGACAACCGTCAGTATTACTGACAGCTTTATCTACGAATGTTTCCTTATAAGGAAACGGCCAATGTTTACTATTATTTCTTCGTTCATCTTCTTTTCTTCTTTTGACCCTTTCTTGTCATTTTTTTTCGCCCTTCAGATCTTCATTCTTTTTTGTTTTCGTCTTCATTCTCTCGTCATTTTATACTAATTATTTTTTTATTGCCTCCTTTTGTCTTTTACTCTTATTCTTTATAACAATTCTTTTCTTTTATTTCTTTCCCTTTCCTCTCATGCCATCTTTACCAGACGCGTTTGTTTGTTTCATAACAATTCCCATATCTAAATATCCTGCCTTTAATGTCTTCCCGCCTTTTTGCGCTTTCCTTCCCCTTTCTATCCGCCATCTTGTCTACACCAATCACAGACAACATCATTAAACCTTGTTGTGAAAAAAAAAAGTTATGATAAATGCTTGCACTCTAAATGAGCCTCTTTGCTTTGACCGACCACTGGGACTCATGTTCAACCTAAACCTCAAGTGGAACTTATATACGATACATCACTAGATGCTGGAGAAATGTCTGCCCCTTGTACCGTTCCAAATAGTACCTCAGTCCTTCTGTCATGCTTCATTGGTGCATGTCAGATCAACCCCAAAATGGAGCATTGCTGCCATGGGAAAATGGTCGGTCCCATGTACCACTCCAGTAAGTACCTGCCTCCTTATGTTATCCTCTACAAGAACTAGATCAAGCCTAAAATGGAATACTGCTGTCATATTTGGGCAAGAGCTACCCTG